CAAGTGGATGGGGCCCGCAGGGGAGTGGCGGGGAAGGGAACAGGTGGGGGCGGGCAGGTTTTCCCCCCAGACGGAGCTGAATCCATAAAGGGGAAACTCATGAAGAGTAGTGGGGGCCGCATTTGGGGAGACAGCTAAAGGCTGATTCTCTACCCTAGGCACACAGAGAGACTTCTCTAGAGAGAGGGCTATTATGGCGCATCTGGGCAGCCAGGTGGCACATCTGAGGGAGAAGGGTCCGTGCACATGGGCACGAGAAGGAATTAGGAGTCCGGATCCTGGAGAGGAAGCTATGGGGGTGGGACACACTTGAAGATGCAGCCAAATCTGGCCAAGACCCCCACACCTGGTAGACGAAGTGAAAATGGATAAAGGGAAGAAATGGATTGAGGCTGTGGGCGCGGGTCCTCACATCTGGCTCGGGGCCCACATCTGGAAGACTTTAGGGAGGAGGGGACACATCTGGGCTGAAGGCCACAGCAGGAGGAGGACTTTTGAGGGTGGTTGAGACTAGAGGGTGTTCTAGCCTGGGGGTCTGGAGTTATAGAAGGAGAGAAGGAGCAGGGGAGGGTCCGGGGAAGAGGTGCGGGGGCGGGGGAGCCTGTCGTTCCCAGACTCCCCGCAAGCTTGGGCATTAGGTGCTCCGGCAGGCGCCAACCCGCACAATCGCTTTTGTTGTCTGGACTGGTTCGGCCTCGCTCCCTTCTGGGCCAGCGCCCTTCTCTTCGGGAGCCCGGACGCCTGGCTTCCCGGCCCCACCCATCTCCACCCCGACGGGTCAGCACCTCTGGACTGAATCTAGTCCTGTCCCGGGTTCACCTCGCACAGCCGGACGCGGGGGGTCTGTAGAGGTGGCCGCGTGCTGAGGGGGTGGGGTGGTCTCAGCTACAATGCTGAAGGGTGTGGGGGGGGGTACGGGTAGGCGGCGGCTAGACCGTGGGAACCAGACGGCTTTATCTGGCCCGGAACCCCCAGTCCCCCAGGCGGAGGAAGGGCGGATGTTCTTACCCTGGGTCTGGCCGGCAGGGGCGCGCTGTGGGGGCCTCCTTTTCTGCAGTGCCCGGCTCCCTGGCCCTCGGGGCCGCCGTCGGCTCAGCAGATCTCTGGCCTCCTGCAGTCTGTGTGGGAAGGGGAGGAGAAGCGACAGTCACCGCAGTTAAGCCGACCCCCACCCGCAAGAAAAGGGCATCCCACACTAGGAGAAGGTCTCCCAGTAACGGCTCTGCCCACTACTCTCCCGGCAACCGGTTTATGGGGAACAGGCCTTGAGTGTTCTTCAGACTCTTGGAGAAGAAACTGAGACAAAAACTATGAAAGACAGAAAAGAGAGAAGGAGAAGAGAAGGAGAGAGGAAATAGTGGCAAAGCTGGCATTTCCCAAGGGAGGATCTAATAGAGGAGGAATCACAGACTCACGTCAGTGGCTGCCAGTTAAGGGACACCTGTCTCTTCCTTGTGCTTGGGCTGGGACTTGGCACGGGAGGTATTGGGGAGAGGCACCGCTGAAGGTCTCTGCACTTTTCAGGCGGGCAGCTTCGGACCCTGCAGGAGGCTTTGGAGACAGCCAGGGACTAAGTGGGGAAAGAGGGAGTTGAGTCTCTCCCTCCATCAAGTGCATCCAGCTCTCCAACTGGGATGAGGGCTGAAAAAGGGAGCTCCCTCCCCTGCCCCTCTGCTGCTACCTCCTTTCACCCCCTGACATACTCCCCTCATTCAGAGGAACCCACCTCGGATGCAGCGGCTCTTCCTGGGTGTCTGGCCTAGGCAGCAGCGACAAGCAGCAACGCTATCAATAGGGGCATGGAAGTTACTCAGACTCCTAGCACCCCAGAATTCCCCAAAGGAGATCTGGGGGGAACCAAGACAAGGTTTGAGGGAATCTCAGAATAATTGTGACTAACTTGGAGCACTTCTCTGCATGTCTAAGTTTCCCATCTATACAATGTTAGGAGGAATATTGGCTTAGATTCTCCAGGAGTGGAGGAAACTTACTTTTATGTGTCTTATGAAGTAGGATTGGCACTTAGGCCTTATTGAGAAATATATTTTAAAATATTTTTTAAATGTTTTTTAAAAATAACAAAAGAACGTTTCTAAGTGCATTTCCAAGCTTCTGCTGTCTGGATCTAGAACTCCGCCCTCCCTTACGTCCCTAGCTGGGACTCAGCCGTCATCCTGAGTCTGGTCGGCAGGTGGCGCCACGTCCACAGACTTCAGCGGCATCCCTTTGGACTGTGGGTTCATCAGAGTGCTGAGGTGGAACGCGATACTGAAGAAGTCACAACTCAGGACTAAGAATCCCAGGAACCGACTTCTTTCCCATTCCTGTTCTTGCACGCTGGGTGTCCTGCAACCAGCGTCTCCTGATCTTTGGGCCTGTTTTCTGATTGACCGGGAAGAAGGGGTCGTTCCTGGAAACATCTCCGCGCGCAGCGCTTCTCAGTGGCTCAGCCTCCAACTCCAGCAAAAGTGCGTCGCCAGGGCCCCCCAGACAAGTCCATTATCCCTAGGCTAAGGGGAGGCGTTGGACAAGTGAGCCGGTTCAGGCCCTGGGAAATCAGTGGAGGATTCTGAGAAAGGGATATCCACCATGTGGGATCCTTTCACACGAGTGGGACCCGGTGGTGGAGGCCGCCAGAGTGGGGGAAGCCTCCGAGATCCCCAATCCTGCCGTCATCCCTCCCGTGTTTTCTCCCGGTTAACCCCTTCCCGGCCCCGCCCCCCGCGCGGCTCGGGTTACTAAACGCATTCGCAGAGACCTAGGCGGGAGCAGAGCCCAGAGCCTTTGTAACCGAGCGCAAGGCCGCCGGGGCGGGGGGTGAGGGTGTTGGGCAGATTTTCCTTCGATCTCGTCACCCGCAAACAGTAGGGGTGACTCTAATCCCCCAAATCTACAGTCTACAGGATAACCCAGATCTCTTGCCGCGAAATCACTGGTACCTAGAGTTCTCTAATTCTGGGAAATAGAGCATCCCCAACCTTAATAAAACCTGAAGAACTCCCCTTCCAACACACTCACACCCCTCTCCTCAAGTCCCTCCGCCATCCACCCAAGCGTCCACGTCTTCTTACTCTATTAGAAAAATCCAAAGGTCCTTTTAAGTTAATACAGTGCCCCCCACCTTAGAAATCCAGAACATCTCAATTCCAGCAGAAAGTCCTTTGGAACCTCATAATTAACACCCTTCCTTTTTGAGCACCTAAAAAACCTTGGGGAATTCCTTTCTAGCTGGAGAGCCCCACCCATCTCTCTTATTCTAAAATTCAAAACCTTTCCCCAATAAACCCCAGGATTCCCTGGAGCCTTATCCATCTCCGCACCATTGGAAGGACCCTCCTCTTAGAGTCTCAGTACCCTCCGGATCCTCACTCCTACAAAATCGGGGTCCGAAAGAGATCCAAGAATCATGGTCTACGCATCCTTTCACTGAAGCAGTGGGTTCGTGTTCCCCTAAATCTGAAGGTTCTGGTTCCCCCAGATCACCAGACTTTGGAGTACAGGGGGCACAAAGAAGAAGGGTCTGCAGTGCGGCTTACCCGGCCGGGCGACTCGAAACCAACGGGACCTGGACGGCCTGGCTGGGGCTGGGGCTGGGACTGGGGCCCACGGTGGCGGCGGTGGCTGAGAGGAGCGGTAGCAGCAGCACCAGCAGCAGGGGGCGGCGGCCTCTGAGGCCAAGGCTCCGCATCTTGTCCGGCGCGGAGTCCAGGGTCCTGGCTGGCGATCTGTCCAGCGGGTCCGGCTCCTCGCAGCCCCGCCCCCGCCCCCGCCCCAGGCCGACTCACTTTCTCCATAATCCGCGCCGGGGGCTGCGAACTTCCCACCAATCAGAACCCTGCACTGCTAGCGCTCCCCGCGCTGCCAATCCAGAGGTGGCAAGGGAGGGGATAGACTGACAGGTGCCGGTGGGGGCTCTGCGGTCTCGAGTACGCCAGGAGGTCGGAGGAAGTCAAGAGTTAGGTACTGACTCTGTGAACCTTCTCGTGGAGCAGGGGCCCCAAAATGAGGGGTGCTTACAATTGGTAGGGATAAGAGGGCGGAGCAAGGACCCCTAAGCAAGACTCCTGCTGGCAGGCGTCATCCCTGGGGTAACTTGGTCGGAATTGAGCTCTCTCGCTGCTGTAAAGGGTAGAAGCTCCCTTGTGAGCCCCCCCCCCACGCTTAAGGTTCTGGGAATGAATGCCAATCCTGCACTAGGCCCCAGGTCTGGCTGATATGAACGGCTCAGATCCACATTGGGCCTTTCCAAGGTCCTATCCTTCGTGGTTCCAGACTCACCACCTGTGAAAATTTGTTCCTCCAAACCTCTGCTCTTCAGTCGACCCAGACTCCATCCCTGACCCACAAATCTGCTCCCAGGGGACTCCCAGCTCTGAACCCTCCTGCACCCATCTCCATTCCTGCCCCTAGAAGATACCAGACCCCCTTTCCTGCCCTAAAACTTAAAGTCTCCCAAGAGCATACTCCCATTCCCAGAATTGCAGACTTTTTCCTTCGAGAGTTCCAGGCCTAAGGACCTCCACTGTTAGAAATCCCAAGCCATAAGGAGCCGTAGGCCCGGTTCACACCCTCTTTAGTGAATAACAGGCTTCAAGTCCTGCTCACAACCTCCAAACGCACAGCGTCTCAAGTTCAGTTCCTTCCTTTATAAAATTCAAGGTACTCGCGCTCTTTTCTCCAAACTACAAGCCCCGCCCCTTCCCCAAGGGCACAGCCCTAGACGTTCAGACCCCGCCCCTAGTCACCTTTTTTGAGCTCCAAGCCACACCCCTTCTTACAGAGAACTGGGACACAGTCCCACACATAGGATCCCAAGCCCCTCCCTTCCCTGTTTGTCCCACTTCTCAGTTCCAGGCCTCATTTCTTCAAAGCAGTTTAATTTTTAAGGTTTCTACATCTATAGAGTTAGCTCGGTACACCAGTGCTCAAACCAGGTAGTAGGCCACACACCCTGACAGCAGGGCTCATCTCAGGATAACAGAAAATGATTCAGCTTCGCTCCCACCCGCTACTCTGCTGCTTCCAATGGAAGGTGTGCAGGACCAACGCGGACAGGAGATCCCTTTGCCACCCCCTCCCCCGTGAAGCAGCACACACATGACTCACATAACCACACTTAGACCTGTCACTGCCACCTACAGCAATCCACGCCTCCACCCCACACTGACACCTAGAAATCTGGGCCCACCCACCGTCCAGAGACACAGCCCCCTAGAGCAGTAAGGGTGGCAGTCAAGCCTCACTCACGGTCATTCGTGGACTGACCCAGTGCGATGATGGAGTGCTCCTCTCTGCCCACTGACTGTGCTCCGTCTCCCCTGCCTTTATTTGGCCTCAAGATCCCTGCTCACGTGGCCCTGAGGGACATAGTATCCCTCACCTTTTCCTCCCTCCCCACCTCCTACCCTGTGGCTGGAGCATTTGCTGGGGGCGCTGCTGAAATTTCTCCCTTCTGCCTGGGATCCAGGGCATCTTCAATGCTCGTTGCTAGGCAACAGCCTCTGGCTCACCACTGCAACTTCCGGGGATGGAATCAGCTTCCCTTCCCCCCAGATTTTGGAGTCCCTGTTTCCCAATCTCTCACTAGCTCCTGGGTTTGTGTCTATATTGTCCCTGGATCCTGATCTGATCTCAACCCTTTAGAAGTCCTCAAAGTTGGATATCCCTGGCATTCCAGAAGCTTCTTCCTATTCACACACTGTTTTATTCCTAATATTAGATTAAAACAAAAACCAAAAAAACTCTTCAGTGTTCTATATTTGACCACACTCCATAGCTCTATTACTTCTAGAATCATGAGCATTCCAGAAAAACAAGAGTTCCCTGGCATGGGAAAAATGACCTCAATATTCTAGATCTGCAAGCATCATTTGATATTCCCTGACATTCTAAGCCCCCCCCACACCCACACTCAAGAAATTCCTAACATTCAAACATCTCCCAGTGTTTTGAATATCCTGGCCCATGAAAACAACAACAACAACAACAACAACAACAACAACAACAAAGTTGACCTTGAGATGCATAGGCATTCTGGAACACTCAGGTTTTAGAATCACTCACCTTTTAGGTCTCCCTTTGTGTTCTAAATTCTCTGACAATCTAGAAACTCATGCCATAGAGATTTCCTGGAATGCAAACAAACCCTCTAATGCTGTGGAAGGCTTAACGGTCCACAGCCTCTCCCATTCTCAAGATGCCCTATTAATTCAGACTTTTTTTCTGTATCCTATAATAATTCATAGCATGCTAGAATCCAAGCGAAATATTTCCTCTAGTGGAGAGTCACAGGCATTTCTTGATACTTTCCTATTCTAGAATCATTGACTTTCTTCCAGGTCTTTTTGTCAGAAGCATCACCAGTCTAGTTCCCTGATCTGCAGTCGAGAACCCTAATATTGCTAATCCACTAGCACTCCAGGATAACCCTAGGTTCTAGATTCCCTAGCATTCTAGACCTCTCTCCAGTATGTTTCAGAAACCCTAATATTCCAGAAATTCTGGATTAGCATATTCTAAAATTCCTTGCTCCTAGTCTGGCCCACTTTCTCTCCTCTTTAAGATGCAGAAAACCTCCCTTTGGATGTGACCAGAGGAACAGGTAAGATTTTGGAGGGAAAATTCAAAACATCAGGCTAGATTGAGTTAAAACTGTCTCCCACACAGGAAAGGGACTGGGCATCCAGGGATGTTGGACAAGATGTTTGGAGTGTCGAGATCTGGGGTACGAATGTTACGGACACAGCAATGACAGCTGCCATCAGTGTTTCTGACTGCCTTTAGCCATCCTTCCTTTTCTGAAGTAACATTGCCCTAATTCTCTTTTCAGGAACTGCTTCTCTGCTCTGCTTACATGGGGCTGATCTCACCTCCTAGCTCATGAGGGTTCGTGACCCAAGCTGGGACAACAGCAGCCCTTCCTCACACTGGCCAGGGTGATTGACTTGGGAATACTTATCTGATTCAATTCAACCAATAAGAATCCATCCTATGATTCTGACTCATGAGAGAGAGAGAGAGAGAGAGAGAGAGAGAGAGAGAGAGAGAAATGCTAAGGAGCTTCATGGAATCATCTTGCCCCAGAGAGAGTCAGAGGACCTGACTGAAGATGATGCATCCCAGAGGAAAGTAAAGGCAAGAGACAGAAAGACATTCTGAATCCCTGGATCCAGCCATGCCTGAAGCCAATACTTAAGTCAATACATTCCCTTTTTTGCTGAAATCGGGAGAGGCAGATTGTTCTGTTTACACTCAGGAAATTGATCAGGGCTCCCCCTCTTTCACCCTGTTCCTGGGGATCCCAAAACCCACCAAGAATGCAAACAAGGATTTGGCACTGAGGACTTTATTGGAAAGGACAGCTTTGGCTTCCAGAAAAGCAGGGAAGATTGGGACCTAGTAACAGTGACCACTCTGAGGAGGACCTGGCCCTGAACCCAGGGCTCCCACAGAAAGCCAGGAGGAGGCACCTGAGTTCCCCGGGGCCAGGGTATCCAAAGGCACCGTGGCAATTGTGTTCAAAAGGAAGTTTCATTGAGATTCTTCTTCGGAGGCGTCAGGGGAGGCCCAAGCCCCGTGGAGGGCCGAGGGGCTGGTGTTGGTGGCCGGCGGGGCTCTGGGGCACTCCGCACAAGTTCCTGGCAGCGTTCCACGAAGCTGCCCCCACGGCGCCGCACCTCTGCCTGTGGGGGGCTTGGGCTCCCGCGGCGGCCAGACAGGGAGGTGTTGCTGGAGGCTGAGTGTAGACTGAGGGGTGGGAGAGTGAGGGCCGGCACCGGCAGTGTCCCCCCAGGCCTCCCCGCTGTCCCCTCCCTCACTGCAGCTACCTGGAGAGGGAGGCCCGGGGCGAGGCGCTGGGCAGAGAGCCGCGAGAGGAAGCCAGGGGGGCCAGCTCGCACTGCTCCAGCTGACCCATCAGCTCCTCCTCTGTCAGGCCACCTGCTGAGGGGCAAGGACGCAGGGTTCAGGGGGAGACAGGGCCTGGGGGGCAAGGGGCAGGGCCACACTGCGAGCACCAGGGCTGGACAGGTGGGAGGGCACAGAGACTGAGGGGCAGGGTCAGCGGCTGAGGGAAGGGCATGGAGGGGTTGGCGGGTGGGAAAAGGGGTCAAAGGAGAAGGCAGGGGGCCAGAGGGCAAGGGCGTGGGCAGGGAGCATGCCCAGGAAGGTTCCAGACGGCCTGGGCGGGTGAGGGCTAGCTGGGTTTGGGGTAGGGTGGCGAGTACCAGGGGCCTGGCCAAGGCCGTCCATGGCGGTGGTCAGATCCCACATGGCCAGGCTGCCGTTGGCTTGGCCAGTGAGCAGGTAGCGCCGGGGCCGGGAGCCCAGCCGCCGGGAGCCCTCACACTCCAGCACGGTGAAGGCGGTGGTGGGTGAGCCGTCCACTGAGCGCACCGAGCACACGCTAAGGGGGTGTAAGGGGGTGAGCGGTTAACCCTGCAGTCAGAACCCAGCTGGGTCCCTTGTCCCTGCATCCCTTTCCCGGGTGCCTCACCACATAGCTTCAGTTCCTGCCCCTCCAATCACCACCCCTAAGCCTTGTGGCTGCCAATCCATGTTTTCCTTGAGCACCAGCGGCCTCTTGGACACCCCGGCCCCGTCCACTCACCATGATGCCCACTGCGCCTCAGAGTCTCCCCAGATCTGCTGCTTGTTCCCCTCTTCAAGCCTCATCTAGAGGCCTCTCCCACCTGCTACCCGCTGCCACCTGGCATCTCTCCACACCTGCCTCCTCCCTCTTGCACCAGGCACCTGGGTCTTGGCCTCTGAGGCGACTCCTGCTGGCCCTCAGGTCCCTGGGACGCTCCTACACCCGGAGGACGCCTGGGCTCTTCCACATGACGGACAAGACCTGCCCTCTCCTGCCGCCCACCCCCCCTCAGGCACCTGGCCTTTGGCCTCTGGGTCTTCTCAGTCCTTGCCCTCCTGCTTCCTCGCCGGGCACACTCTCCTGCCCTTCTTTCCTCTCTCCTGCTCAGAGTCCTCTCTTCAAGCCACCCTCCAGGCCCGAGTGAGCAGAGCTCTGGGCTCCTACAGCTTCCTGGGCCCCGTCCAGCCACGACTCTGCCCGCCCCGTCCCACCCTTGCACTGGCCTGAGAGTCCTCCAGCTTCGCCTCCCCCAGTCCTTTCATCCCTCCAGTCGCCAAGTCCACTGGGCCGTTGGCCCTGCCAGCCTTCACTCCTTCCATGTCCCTTGGCTAGGACCGCTTTCTGGCCTCCAAGACCCAGCTGCACCTTGTCCTCCCCCCTGACCACCTCCCCATTTGGCGGACCAGTCTCACCGCTGCCCAGTGGATGAAAGACGCACAAAGAGCTGGCTGGCGTTGGGCACCACCTTCTGGATGAACACCTGCTGGTCGTCCCGCTCACCATAGGGGCCTGGACAGGCAGAAGCAGGGGCAGGGCTGGCCAGGGCCCCCTGGGCCTCCAGACCCTAAGGCTCTGCCCCTTCCCGCTGTGGAACACCCTCCCAGACCTGGCCCCACCCTCAGGCTCCTGGGTTGGCCAGGGTCTGGTGGGGGGGGTAGGTCCAATGGTCAGTAGAGTTCAGGTCCATGAGGGGTCCTGGGCCAGGTGGCTGGCAATGGGAATCAATGGGGATGACAGAGGAGTCAACGAAGGTCGAGAGGGGTCAGGTGCAACTCAGTAGAGGTCAACAGGGGTCAACAATCAATGGAGTGGAAGCTGACCAGGTCAGCTGGCGGGTCA